TTTATCAGCTTTTGATGGTTAGATTAGGGATATCACGTTTCAATTAGCATATCACATGTTTGCATCCATTCATCTTGTATTGCATGCACCAAAACTCGGCGTATCATTCTAACTGCATTGTTGTTTCGATACATTCTTTGAATACGTGCTTAGATCGCATGTTATCAAAATCAATTCATATGTCATATTAATAGTCGAGCCTATTAATTGCATATTGCATGTGTTGCATTAGACATTTGGCATAGTTAAGAATATGCATTTTTCTAACTAGTTTCTTTTTTGGCTTAGAGTACTAGGTGAGTTTTTAGTGCTTTAGCATACTTGCATGAGTGTGAGTGATTGCCATGAGTAGCATGCTTGCCATGAGGCTAAGTGCTTACTTGTTAAACTGCTTGAACACCTGTGGATAAAGGATTATTGATTGAATTGGAACAATTTGGGTAATGTTCATATGCGACCACTTTTTCAAGTCGTTCATATTTCGAAACAACTTTCAAAACGAACATGAAATTAAATTGTTTCAATTTGAGCAAACTAGTCTATACCTTGTGTGCGCATATCATATAGTAAATGCTAGCCTAATAAACCGGAACAAGAGCATATAATGTTGATAAAAATCATATCATGATTAGTAGAGGCCGATCTTTGATCGTGTGAGCGGGGGTGCTCAATTTATGGCCTTCCCCTCTCGTACCTAAGTTCCCAAGTTGAGACAATCTTGGTGATGACGGACACGTGGCCTTTGGCATGAGTCATGGGTTTCCTAAATTTTTCAAAATAAAATATCTAGGTGGCGACTCTGTATCTGGCAAAGCAGTCTAATTTTGGCATTTTTAATTCAAAATCAATTTTTCAAACGATTTGTCGGATTTGGACTCTTTGGTGTTTATCAATTTCACATTGCACTTGTGAGATTAGATTCAGAACCGCATGAGTCTAAACTGTAGAGCTTCTTTCGAGCTTCCGAAAGGGGGCCGAAAAAGTCGAGCTACACTAGGAACACGGGAAGAGGCTCTAAGGTTTCTAAGAGTCTTCTCTAGTTCAAGGTATAAATCCCAAAGTTCAGGGCGACAAGAATGGTGCCCGTGCATACACCACTCACAAACACACTAAGTTCTGACTCTTATGTGCTATCTACAAAAACAAAAATACTAAAGAAAGAAATACTCATAGTGGTTAACAAAAATGCTTTACTCATCTTGCGGGTGCTTAATGTGTAGGCTGTTGTCTCCAACCTATGCTTGAGCTCTTACTTTTTAGCACTTTGGTGCTTTGTTTAACGTGTTTAGCTCTCACTTTTTTTTTAACATTTATTTTAAGCTTGATTGCGCTTTAGCGATAGCTCTACTGGCAACAAATTTTGCACACTTGGCAACATAAGAATGTAAAATCCTAAACAAAAATTTAAAATAAGAATATAACTTTAAATTAATTAATTTTGCCTGGAGTCCTCGGCAACGGTGCCAAAATTTAATGGGTCATTTGGCACACTAAAAATAAACACTAAACTATACCTAAAATTTCTTAGAATAAGGGCAAGTCTAGTTATCAATCTACAAAGACAATTGTGAAATTAAACTAATTTAATTGCTAGGTTCCTAAATTAGTTTTGATAAAAAGATTAGTGGATAATATGACTAAATAAAAGTCAAAATGAAGTTGAGAAATTGAATTGAAAATTAAAATTAGGGTTTGAGATATTGACTTTGGAAAAATCGCAAAGCAAAAAATTCGCCACTAGTCACATAAATAAGATTTAACATTGGCCATCAATTGCAATTCGTTTTGAACTACCCAATGTGTTACAACTACAAGTTTGAAACATTGATTAAGAGGATTGTTGCATTCAACGTACAGGCACAAATCATCTCAAGTAGCACGAGTCGTTCGCTCTAAACTATGGTAGCAACATGACTTGTCTCTCGTAGCATGACTTGTCCCTTACTTTGAACACAAATGCAAAGAAAACAAATGTATGGAAAGCGTTTGACAATCACAGCTAGTAAAATACTTGAAGAAAAGAAAATAATAGAAATATTATTATATACTTCTAAAACATCAATACATTTATTTAAATCGTTATACAATCAAAGCCTAAAAAAATCTATTTGCATGGCTAGGGTTTCATCAAAACCCTCGAGAATAGAAGACTAGCCACTCATGGAGAAGTGGGAAGTGGAAGAGGGAGAAGCCACCATGGAAGACATCGTTGAAGCTCCAAGCTTTTTCTCTCCAAACACTAGCCTCTCTTTTTCTTTGGAAAAATATCTGAACCCTTTTCAGCTCTTTTTTTTCCTTTTTATACCTTGTAGGCCTGAAAACAAGTTTAGAACGTCACACATGCAAAATGAGGTTAAGCCGCACGTGTGGGAAATGTCGCCGCACGTGCGGGAAAAACCCTCTGCATGTGCAGATTTTTTAGAATGCTTTGAACTTCAAGATGAGAAGCCGCACATACGAGAATGACCCTCTGTACATGTAGGAATGACTTTTAAGTTAAAATTTCATTTTTTGCTCATTTTGTACTTCAAACACATCCAACCTGATTAACATTAAACAATTGTAAAATGTACTTGATTAAATGTTAGGGTTAAGAAATCTCAATTATCGACCTCAATAATATACAATTCAGCCTTAATCAGATATATAAGTTAATGCAAATGAAAAATATGTTCAACTATATGATCAAATTCTTTATGGGTGTGTTTGATTGGACGGACTGGAAAATGGGGGATTAGAATCCATCGGACTTGAGTCCTGGGACTGTGAATCCCCCGGACTATTTGGTCGGATTGGATATGTATCATGTGTTTGTTTTTTCATGGGATTAGATGTCTGGATATGACTATTTTCAGTGAATCCAATGTTTGGTTGGACGGACTGGATAGGATAAATGAACAAAAGACTATTTTGCCCTTTTTCAATTGTTTACTAAGTAATAGTAATATTAAACATATCTTTAATATTTTAATTATTTTTAATTAAATAAATTTGTTTTTTTAAATTAAATAAATAAATAAATAAAATATCAATAAAATTTGTTTTAAATCATTACTGTATAACAAATCATTATTTTTTTTTACATACAAAACTTTACTGTGTTTGTTTATTTACACAATTAAATAAATTTATTTTTTTACACAATTAAATAAATAAATAACCACTAAATTTGTTTATATTATTTTTTAATTAAAATTTTAAATAAAACACCTATTACAATTTAAATAATGAAATTAAATAAATTATAAACAAAATTTTAAAATAAAACATCAATAAAATATCTATAAAAAATTATTTTAAAAAATTAAATAAATAAAACATCAATAAAAAGTTAAATAAAATTATTTTATTTTTAAATTGAGACATTTAAATTTTATTGAATTTTATTAAATATAATACATAATTAAATAGTAGAGGGTCAAAATGGT